AAGGAGAATAGATCGGCAGTTACTCGTGCATTTGGCAAACATACTGTATACTGTAAATCAACATGGTGCAAGCAAACAGGCACAGTTTGTGTTGATTTCTTTGACAATACACAGTTAAGTAAGTGAATCTCTCCGAAGCCAAACTGGCATTTTGGAGTCCCTCATGAGTTAGTCATCCTGAATACATGCAGTTCATTTCATAATTTGGAAGATGTCTTTTTCCCTAATTGACACTGAGTCCCCAGAGCACCAACAACAACGCAACAATACCTATTTTTGACTTTTTTCATTCAATTATTTATGATGAGGTTGTCACTTTTTGAGGGGATGATAATCATATATATTTTTGGTAAACTCAAACAGTTGTCACTCGTTGTTTAACTACATGACCTTAAACCCCCACTTAATCAGAATAAAAAACTGTAGTTATGATATCTTGATGTAAAAACAGGTGGACACAAATTGTAATGTGAACAGTAGCTGTTCATTCAGAAGGTGCCGGCATGTTTTAGACGGAGCAACAAATCGGAGCTATTTTCAGTAAACTGACACCGAAAACAATCTCTATGATGTCCAGTATTCAAATAATAAAATAGAAATTGCAATATAAAAGGATATGGTTTCCGTTTGCAACAGATATTAAAAAACAGTAACTAAAACGTACCTATTATTGTGGATTTCACATGAATATGCATACTACGGTTGATTGCAAGAGATAATGTTTTACTTGAATATCGACCTTCAAACCTTTGGCTGCGACCTTGAGTCTCCCTCTGAGTGTATATTGTGTTTGCTCCTTTCAACCCAGAGATGTTTAAATGACACCGTTTGTGTCTCAGTGATGGTGAAACAGCCGACTACTGTCCTCCCATGCTGCTGGAGGGACGCCTCCATTGACTGTTTACGGCCCTGAGCTCATTAGAGGGGGGGTAGTGGCCCACCCAGGAGGGAGGAACGGGGAGGAGATAGTTTGTTTTGGGGTTACAGATGGGGTCCAAAACTAGCAAGCCACATGAATGTCTGGGTGCAAATTAATTTGACACAGATACTGTATGGCCAGGATCCGTTGAATTTTCAGAATATTGGGTTGCAGATTAAAATACTTGAAATAACTAAAGGATAAGTTAAAAAAGAAAGTAGAAAGAAAGTGAGGTCAAAGAAAACTATTTCTGCTAAAAAGTTAGCAATGATTGAGAGTCAGACCTAAACATTTCAGATGCGTGTATCTCACACTGCTGTAACTTCAATTCATGTACCTTTGATATTCATGTTGTATTATCTTTGCTTTTAAATGAGTGTTTTAAATGCCATTTTATAATATGTTTCTTAACTTTGAATTGCCTTGTGTTGAAAGGTGCTATATAAATAAACTTGCCTTGCCTTCTGGAACGTGTTGATTTACTTCTGTGAGGAATTTAAAACTGCAATACACAGGTGAGTAACCAAACTACTACTGTACTCACCTTGGATCTTTAAAGTTATTTCATGTGACAAAGTAACATCATAATTCATTTGGAGTCGCGTAAGAGACAGTTAAGTCCAATATTAATCTATTTGCTTTGGTCTTTAGACATGCCTGATGGACATATCTGGCTCTTTAGCTGCTAAATGCCTAAATATGTTCACCATAAGTGTCCCTGACTGTGCCGGTCTACTGTTTGGTGCTGAACAGGTAGAGTACAATTGGTTTTTAGAGCTTTTTTACTGAAAACAGTTGCATGCTGTGGCAAGAAATGATGCTATTAGAGCCATGAGAGTGAGCCAAAACAGTAAATATGTGGGTTTGACATTTTAACAATGAGCTGAAACTTATATTATAAATGATAAGGGAAGCTGTATATTAAAGAGGAGATTCTCTGTTGGATCATTAATACTATTGACACCTTTCACATTGTCAGTCTCTTCATTGTTAATATCAAACTCGCTTTGAAGACATCATGTACTTTGAGCGTAAGCTGAACTAAAAAAACATCCTGGTCTTTTTGTTTGTGTTCGTATAAAGTACCGATATAAACAAGGAAACACAAAGTTATCGGGTTAATTGGAAAATAAAACACACAAATTCGGAGATACACTTTGAAACAGTGAATTGTAAAAAAAAAAATGACGTTCAAACAATAAGAATATGAGGGGAATAGAAAGGGTGTGGCATGTGGCAAAATGACTTCAGGTATATGTTAAATAAGGATGCAAAGTTTCTGATGAGTCGTTTTTTCAGATGTAACTGTTTTTCACTGTTTTGGACATTAGGTCATTTACTCATAGCATTCAGAACAATGCACTGTAACTCAGCAACATGTTATGAATCACCTAAAGTATTTCTCTAAAGGAAGATCACATTCCCCATATATCCTTTCTGCCAATTTGCTGTCTGATTAATTTGTGCTGAAAGATAACTCCCCTCTCAAAGTGTAAAGTTAACCCAGTGTTGACCCACATTTTGATCTAATGGCTATTAGCAGCTAACTAGCTGTCCTTTTGCTGCCAAAAAAAAATCTGAAGTGAGGGCAAAGAGCCACTTATAAGAAGAGAGAAAGAGAAAAGGCAGCCAGAAACCAAGGAGAAGTAAGCGAGAGTAAGCGAGGAACAGTTTGAGAGGAGGAGAGAGATAAAAAAAAAAAGATACGAACAGAGGAATAAAGGGAAAGCAAGGAGCTTACGCAGTGAAAAGAGCACATTAGGGGCGACCTGCTGCGACAGTGCTGTGGGGAACGGTGAATAACTGCCTCCATTTAGACCAGTGTCCTGGTGGTGTGGAGCCAGGGGCCTCAGATGGACACACACACACTCAAAAACACCAAAAACACACGCATAAAGCAAAATAAACTCATTCAAAAAGCATGTGTTTCCTGCACAAACTGATACCTGACACACACTCATGCTCACACACCTCCTCGCTGGCCCTCTCATTCACACATTTCTCCACATTGGCCGGATTAGGAACACTTTCTCTTGGGTGTGCGAGGCTGCCCCGCACACAAAGAAACACTTGGGGACAGGATTAGTAGGCTTACAGCGGATTCACATATGTCCAGTTCAAGCAATTGGTATTCAAAGCTTTACACTTTCAAATGCCACCAAGAGAGAGCAAAGCCGACCAGCGCTTTTCTTTGCATTGGCAGCACCTTTATGAGAAGGGCTCTTTTGCAGGGCCAACAATGAGGCCGTGAATACTCATTTTTACTGTTCTACCAGGGGGATCTCATTGGCGAAGGATAGAGAGAGCAGAGTTTGAGACATACTTTATTATGGGTTTGAAGTGCTGGGTGGGTGGGTGTGCAGACGGTTAGATGAACGGACGGACAGACGGATGGAGGGATGGAGGCTGAGGTGGTCGTGCTTGAGTTACTTCCACATGTTATTGTTTGGAGGCCTGTTCCTCCACTCCACCTTCACAAAACAGATCTGGAGGAGACTCTTCAGAGTGGAGAGAGCACTCTCAGCAGCTCAATATAGACAATGCTGACTCAATTTAGTGTATTCTTCTATTAATTTAATACAAAAACACCTTTAGAGATCTGTCTGATTGCTTAATAAAATATATTTGAAGAGGGTAAATGTTTTGTCTTTATTTTCATTAATCGGTTTATTGTGAAATATAGTTCAATGTGATTTCAATGTATAACGTTTATTGCCTTATTTTTTAAACATATTTGTAGCATGGCATTTTGTAATATTCTTCCTTATTTTGTACTTGTAGATTTCTGTGTGTGGTGTTTGCCTCAAACAGCACCTTAAGGGAAGAATAAAGTATTTGTAATGACATTTTTGAAAATGGTATAATGGCTGTTTTATGAGTATTTTGACTGTCATTAAATCTAAAAAGAAATGTATAACTATATGCTAAATGTTATTAATCCAAATATAGTTTCCTTGTTCATTTTTCGGGAGAACATTGTTTGAATGATTTGTGGGAAAACACAGTTGTAAGTTATGAAATATCGGATATTAAAAAATGAAAGAAATTAAACGAAAATGTTATTTTAGTACAAGACGTGGGAGCTATGAGAGGTTTTATGGAGGTCCAGACACGAGGCCCACATGCTGCCATATGGCCAGCAGAGTGCGGAGTGTCGGAGCGGCCTGTTCCCTCTCTGTCCCAGCGGAGGCCGGCTCCCTGCGGCACAGGAGCTGCTGAATGTGGAAGCAATTTCCCTTCATTCCTCCTCACTCCCTCAGGCAACCAGCGAGAGTTTGCTTTGAGATTTGACCGTACGAAAAACACTGAAAATGAGCAATGTGTGAGAAGCTGGGGAGGTATTTTAGAGAACAGTCTTCACTTTTCTTGCTGCATATTACCAAACAAATATGTATTGAAACAGCTGAAATAAAAAGCAACACTTTTGTCGATGTTATAACAAGGATTTTGTGCGTAAAAGTCAAATTACGTAGCACATAAAATGCTCAGACAAGACCATTACAGGTGTTTCGGTAGCTTATGGATAAAATATAATACAACAAAAACGTATTTTAATAAAAACAACTTCTATGACATAAATTAGTCTTTTAAAAAAATCGAATAAAAGAAGCAATTTCAAAACTGACCATGTTCGTCCCCGGAGGAGCAACTTTTCTGATCCCAGGAGGAGAAGAGAAAGGGAAGAAGAGAATAAAAAAAGGAGAAGAAGAACTGAAGAGAGGCGCGCTGTGCCCCCCAGCAGTGTCCTGACAATGGCAGTGAATGGTTGCGCACCGCGGTCACTGGGACAGTCAAAGCACACCGCCCCCTTTCTAACGGGCACGTCATCCTCCTAAGGCGTTATGAATAGGAAAGCCGCTTTTGTTTCCCTGCGTGTATAAATACCCACTATCAGTGTCCTCCTCACCGCAGACACAGGGAGGCAGATAGAGAGAAAGTGGACACCGATGTGATAAGAGGGACAAAAGCGTGGGACAGGAGGGACAACATCAGGTGACCAGAGACAGAGAGAGGGAGAAAAGAGAGAGAGGGGGAAAGTGAGAGAGACCTCCTACAACCACCTCTGAAGCCAACCCATAAAATGAATTCAGACTCAGATAGCAGCAGAGCTTCTTCCCCGGACATGGACGTTATGTCACTCCGAGAACACCATCCACACCACCACCACCACCTCCACCACCTTGTCGGATCCTCCGTGTCCTCCTCCACCCAGAAGCTGAGCGCCAGCGACCTCCTGAGATCCGAAGACCCGAAGTCAGTGGAGAGCAGCAGCAGCGGCGACAGCAGCAGCGGCGACAGCAACAAGTTCAAGCTAAAGAAACCAGTCACAGAAGAAGATATGTACCACCTGCGACTCAAGATCAACGGCCGGGAGAGGAAGCGCATGCACGACCTCAACCTGGCTATGGACGGCCTGCGCGAGGTGATGCCGTACGCGCACGGGCCCTCAGTGCGCAAGTTGTCCAAGATCGCCACGCTGCTCCTCGCCCGGAACTACATCCTGATGCTCAACAGCTCCCTGGACGAGATGAAGCGGCTGGTTGGGGAGATTTACGGAGGGCACAACTCGGCTTTCCACTGCGGCTCCGTGGGTCACCCCGGGGGCCCGGGTGGGCACGCCGGTGGCCCCTTGGCTGCTGCCCACGCTGCTGCAGCCGCCGCCGCAGCCGCGCACCAGGTGCACCCTCTGCTCGGCGGCGCGCTGTCAACACCCACATCCTCCTCGCTGTCCAGCGCGCTGCCGGGCCTCACGTCTATCCGAGCCCCCCACCCCCCTGATGAAGGGCGTCCCGTCTGCTCCCCAGCCCCTGCAGCTGGGCCCCGGCTTCCAGCACTGGGCCGGGCTGCCGTGCCCCTGCACCATCTGCCAGGTGCCCACTCCTCCACACATGCCCATCAGCTCATCCAGCCTCAGCAGACTCTCAGTGGAGGGCAAGGACCTGATGAAATGATGCGTGCAGACCCGCAGAGACTGAGCCATGTGATGGTGTTTGTAAATACAGGATTCAGGGCATGAGGGGGGGGGGGTTTGGTCTCACTGGTGCATGTTGTTGTTTGGTCTGTTTTCTTGTTTGGCGTATGAGAAAAAAAAAAGTAATTTTCCTCCTTGTAACAAGGACTTTAAAGACTGCTGATTTTGCCGATCTAAGGTGAAAAGAAAAGTTGTGTGTCATGCAACAAGGTGCCACATCTCCGTGTGTCTGAGTTGTATAGTCTCACGCCACAGTGTAAAAGTGGAAGGAGGCTGCATGAACATTTTGATTTGATTTTCCTTTCTTTTGGATCAGGCGTCATTTTGTGAAAACGAAGAATGCTCTCTGTGCCTTGTACCAAGGATTTTAAACTTGAGTTGTAAATGAAAATAATGACATTTATGTATTTGGCTTATTTTATTGGCTATATTTGTTTTAAATTCTGTACATTTATTTTTATTTGGTGGCTCACTGTGTGTCAATTTGTGCTCCGATTTCCATTTTGTATCGTCAGTCGGTTTTCTTTTTTGCATGACGGTATAATTATCACAGCATGATTGTTTTTTGCTGAACTTAATTTGTTATGCCAAGAGACCCCGTGTCTTTATTTTTGTACATTGTTGATGACTGATGAAATATTTATTATCGCCCAGCGTCCCTGGCTGAAATTTCAATAAAACTGAAATTGTGGATCATATCTCACCGTCTTCCCCTGGTTTTCATATTACTGGATACTCAAACATTTAAAAAACATATTTATCAGGTCAAGAGTTATACTTTTAAAGTCTGGTTTAATTAAAGTGTACTATTCTTTACTTTAGCTATTTTGTATAATCAAAAGTGCTAATTTAAACCCTTCAAACATACAACCTTCGATTTATTTTATATTATCATTATATGAAAAAAATGTCTTTATTTTGATAAAAGCAAACCTTTATTCCACCAAATCTATTACTTCAATTCAGCAAAAAAGTCATTTTTTAAATATCTAAAATAGTTGTGTGTATTATTTCAAAGGCCTCCTCTGTTTAAAAACATTATGAGTTTCCTTTTACAGACAATATGTTGAAGCTTATTTGCTCATTTCTTTTTTTAAATAAACGAAGACATTTTAAATAATAGAATAAAGTCGTTTTTGTTGATGTTGATTATTAACACATTAGTTAAAACTCAAACCCCAAAACGAAATGTATACTCGATAATTTACTTTATTCCTCCTTTGAATTGAATTTCCCTGGATAAATAAGGGAAAAGCAGCGCTTTAAGGATTTTAAGGAAATGTATATTAAAATATATATTTGGAAACAACTTTACAATTTAGTTAGTAAATCCCTAAAAGCTATTCAGGTCAATTTCCTGCAACCGCACACGCCACTTGAAAAAAATCCCAAATCTGATATCATATTATCAGGTACTTAATTTCTCTTGTGTCTCAGCCCATGTTGCCCAACCAGCTCATGATAAACCAAAACAGATACAGGGTCACACAGCATTTACTCAACATTTCCGAGCAGCTGACAGAATGTTAACGAAAGGGAAGGTGAGGCGCGGGGCTGCGGTAATGGAGCCCGGCTGAATGGAGCTCCGCCTCGGGGAGCGCAGAGCAGTTTGTACGCCGGGTCCCGTGGGGGTTCCTCCGTCTCATCTCTGCAGCGACAGAATGTATGTTTGTGGAGATTACAAGTTAATTGTTCATGGGGGACCAAGAGGAGAAAATCACATCACAGGAAAAGCGTCGGGATTACAGGCTACTAAATGCAGGAAGATTATACATTCAGACCCCCACCTCGGCCTCGGTGCATGCAAATGAGTGAGTGGATTAAAAAAAAAAGAAAGAAAGAAAGACAGAAAAAGAAAATCAGAAGCCCTTTTGTAACTTATTTGGAGGGAAGAAAACACAAGTTGAGAAAGAGTGAAAGGGGTCTCGGGTTTTGTCTTTAGGAATGAGTTCAGCCTGTCTCTCGCTCGCACCCTGCCAGATGGGATGTAAATAGCTGGGTAGCGGCAATGGCCTTTTAACCACACAACACTGCGGAGGATGTTGTCAAGGGAAGCTGGCGGTTTGCGAGTTAATAGTCATGAGTTGGGGTAATTACTTAAGGTTTATTATGCTCTGGTTTCAAAGGAAATGGACTCTTCAATGGGCCGAGAAATACTTCTTAATTCTGGCTAATTAGGAGCCGAGGAAAGCAGAGACAACTGCTGCTGCTGCTGCTGCTGCTGCCGCCATCAAGCACTGTTACATTCAGGGGATCATTTGTAAGTAAGCCAACACAAAATGCACAAAACACTCATGCATGCAAATAACATGCAGAGGACACATGCACACCATGCCAGCTGAATGTTAAAGAGATTCATGTAAATCACTGCCTTTTCTGCTACGTTACAAATGTGGCAACCGGAGTATTTATGAAATTAAAATGTATCCACTGTAATTAAGACAAAAGCTCCACAAGTAAATGGAAAAGTAATCAAACACTTGCAAACAATGATTGAATTATACCTTTTTCTGCCACTGTGTTTATCATAATGGTGCGGCTTATCTTCCTAGCAGGGTTCACAAACATTATCCTCATGAGACTCCAATTTGTATTTATACTTTACATAATCATGTAAATCCCACTGAGATTCCTGCATGGTTTTCATTAAGAGATGCCCAGCAAAGACAGAAAGTTGGTGATAATGATGCAACATTACAAATTAAACTGAATATAAAAAGGACTATATTAAATAGGGGAAAGGCAGAAAGCTGTGAAAAACGGCTTTAACATGCAGGAATACTTGTTGTTTCACAGGTGTTCAAGCAACCTTTTATTCTACCAATGGCAATTAAATAAAAATAAGAACTTATTTTGCACTTCTGGATTTTCTTTCTGTTGCTTTCTCTTTACTTATCCTGCTTTGTAAAAGTCTGCAGCAAGCATCAAAACTCAAACGTGAATAAATTAGCCGAAATAAATGAGTTTAGTCCAGTTTATTGCCAGTGCAATACGATCTTATAGTGCAAATGACAGCAGCTTAACAAAACCCATAAGAAATTATCAAAATAAAGAAAGTAGCAGAAAAGAAATCGTCTGAAAAAATTGTGCATAAGAGTACGAAAGATATAAATCGGAGGTAAAATATACAACATACTGGAAATAATTGCAGAGACAAACCTACAATTATAATACCTTAAGTGTCCCTAGTTTACCAGTCTGTTCACAGCTTCAGGGTGTGTCTTTTTATTTTTTTTAACAGAGTTGTCCACACTGCATAAATAATACTGACAGACAGATAATAGATTTAATGTCTTCAGAGAGTGCGTTTTGGTTTTTCAGGCCGGTTAGCGATGACTAAATGGACTCATGGTCGTCACCTCCTCTTTTCATGAGGTTTGACAAACGACTGGTCCTTTTATAGAGCACACACCTGTTACTGGGAGCCACTCAAGGTTTATCACTTAGAGCCACGCATTGTTCAGCTCACACACACACACACACACACACACACACACACACACACACACACACACACACACACACACACACACACACACACACACACACACACACACACACACACACACACACACACACACACACACACACACACACACACACACACACACACACACACACACACACACACACACACACACACACACACACACACACACAAACACCTTTTGACAGGGATGCTAACAAGGCAAGAAATGCTGTCAGCCTCCATCGTGTCCCTGTGACCAGCCTGCCTTTATGGAAAAAAAACTGAATTAAAAATATATGTAGTTTTACATTTAAAAAACTGATAGATGCTATCCAGCTCCATTACACCTTTTCAAAGCTTCAAATATAAGGCTTTTCAGTCAGATGTGTACAAACAGTAAGGACTATTTCATACTTTTAAAGCTCCAGAGTTTGTATAAACATCTGATATGGTCACGGCAGATTGTCGCTGCATTGAGTCTGAAGAGTCCTGACGTGTGGAGTGTGTGAACTGCTGGTTTGTTTACTTGCTCGGTCAGTGAGCGGTGCCTGAGGGCAGAAATTGAAAATAAATGTCAGTTGAATAAGGGGCAGCGGCCGCATCAGCCGAGCTGCTGCTAGAACAAAAGCAGTTGAGGGGATAAGTTATTGAGCGGGCTGACAGCCTGAACAGGGCTGATTATAACTGCCTGGTCTTGTGTGTGTGTGTGTGTGTGTGTGTGTGTGTGTTGTAGTCAGTGAAGCAGGTGCAGAGGCCTTTCCCTCTCTGTCTCTACCTCTTTCTATCCCTCTCTCCCCTCCTGCCCTCAGGGAAGCCTCGGGGCCCTCTGCCCTCCTGTCCTCAGCTGATTCCACAGACTAATGTTTAACCCATACTGCCAAAACAGAAAGCATATTTCCATCATAAGAGCGCTTTGCCTTCGCCATTAGCGACTGGGCTCATTTGCATGTTAATTGTGCAGTTAGAGAGGTGGTGTTGACACTTCTCTTTGTCCATGCAGGGTCGCGGGAAGTGAGAGGATGGGGCTGCACAATGACATCCGTGTGTGTTATTGTTCCATCTGTTATCATGGGACTTATACATAATGGAAACAAGATGAAGTTAATTTGATTACTTATGATTGAAGATTTATCAAAATATACATACATAAACCACTTTGCTGTTTGTAAGTTGGTTGTAATGAAGTCATTTCTCAGTATGTGAAAAGGACAAAAGTGGCTTAAATATATAATTCCAACAATTGTAAGTTTCGTACTTGTATACAATTCTGAGGTAGAGGTATTTGAACTCTAAAAAACGATTTCAGTCCGTAACCTACATAAGTAAAAAAGAAATAAAGCTGTGAAATAATACAAGGAAAAGTACTTTAAAAACGACTGAACCATAGTGGATCAGAATTGCCACTTACATTTTTTAACTGTCGGTTATGATGCACAATGTATATCAATATTTGCTTGTGGCTAGTTTGACCTATAGTCTACTATTTGGTAAATCTCCAGTAAGATGTGTCT